ATTATTTTATTAGTTTTGATAGCATGAAAAGGAAAAGAAAAAGATTGTACTTACCGAAAATAACCTTATAATTTTAAATAGTAAATAAATAAATAAATTTATGTTTGATAAATATTATTTATACTTAATTATTTATTTTAGTAAGGAAATAGTGAAATATGGAATAGAATAATATGTGATATCATAATACAATTTTTTTTGCTTTCTCATCTCTCTTTCTATATATTCACTTGTTCCCGTGTAAACTTGAATTCTCGATCTTTTATTTTTTAAGGTAAGAAAAATAAGTTTTTGGTAAAGTGGACTATCAAAGTTCAAGTATTTATTTTCTCTTTATGTTAGTTTTAATTTTATTATTTATTATTTATTTGTAAATAATGTAACTAGATACTATATATCTAATTATAACTTTCTCACTGAGAAAATAAAGTCATAGATAGATTATGTAAACTATTTACGAATTATCAATTATTTATTTCAAGATAATGTTTGATGCTAGGTATGAAACAAATTGTGTTAAAATAATATAGACTATTTTTCACCTAACACTCTTGTTATCAACAAATAGTTATGTATATATATAATAACTCTTAATCATTATCAATTATAGAAAAAAATATTTTACTTATTTAAGACATTTAAAAAAAATGAAAAAAAATAATTCAGTAATAAAAAGAAAAAATTAATTAATTTTGGATGCACATATAAAAAATACAAACAATTTAATTAGTAATACATGATTTTATAAAAAAGCAATTTACAGAAGAAAGAAGCTATCCTTTTCAAAGAACACTATGTAATTAAGTAAAGAAGAAGAGAGACAACTAACATGGATATAATAGGAAAGTAATATATAAAGTGCACAAGTTTTGCGAGAAAGTAAATTTCCCTGTGTTTTTTGCACGAAAAATTTTGAGAAAAATTTTTAGATGTAGGAATTATACTTTCCTCAAAACTTTCACTTTCTCTCTAACCAAACTTCAAAATTTTTTAAATATTTTCCTTTTCTTTTCTTTTTTAGTTACTTGACGCTAACCAATCGGACCCTTAGGGATTCACCAAATGAAGGAATGAAGTAGAATGGGGTTTTACATACCAAATTGGGCACAAACAAATTCGAAGCAACACTAATGCCATTTAAGGCACAGGATATTGCAAACGCGAAGTATACACTAAAGATGTCATTTAAGGCACATGATATTGTTATGAGCTTGGCTTTGAGATTTACAGGATATTACAAACGCTATTCTGCAAAAGCGCCTTTTAAGGCATAGTTTGGTTGAAAAAAAAAAAAAAAAGGTAAGGGAGAAAAATGAAATATTATGTTTTTACGAATTTTTAAAAGAAAAGAAAATAAATGGAGGAATTCAAAAGGATACAAATTATACATGTTATCCTTGTAAAAATGGATGAAAATGCTAACATTTTTAATAAAATTTTGTTAATACCAAAATTGTCTTTATTTTATAAAATACAAAATCTATGAAAAATGGAACTGTAAACTCTTTAAAGGGTTGCAAGCAAAAAACACAATGTGGTATACATATAGAGCGTATAACTCCCTCTACGTTCTAAAAAATCGCAAACATTTAATTTTGGAACAAATAAGGACTTAACTACTGAAAATATTAAAATGCTCATTTATAATTAAATAAAAAATAAGTAAAAAAAACTAATTAAATATGAAATGACTAAAGCGTCCCTCTTTTCAGTTCAGTAATATGAGGGCAATATCGAAAGACATATGAGCATTTTCGGAATTTTATATTTTAAAAATGTCATGTACAATGTCCATGACTAAATTTTTAATGAAATAGTGACTTCAACCCTTTTTTGTTTATTTTTTTAAACTTAAACGGAATTATATATACAACATGAACAATAAAGGTATTATTTGTCTAAAATGTAAGCATTAGGGGTGGTTTTTCTCACTTTGCCCTTCTTTAAAATACTTTCCTTTTTTTTTTTTTTTTCTTTTTTTTTTTCTTTAGTAATTAATCAAAGATGATAAATGGTTAGCAATGTCTTTTCATTTGCATTTTTTTTTTTTCTCTCTCTTAATTATTCTCATCATTTCTCATTTTTTCTTAAGTACCAAACATAACCTAATATTTCTCGTATTTTGTATCCATTAATATTATTATATGTTTTTAAAGGATTAATAAGTTTTAAAAAAATTTAACAGCCATATATGTGAAGCTATGAAGCACCGACGCAGCTCTAAGGGTCGAAGTACCGGTGTCAGACACGTGTCTGACACGGACACACGTATCCCAGACTTGGACTCGTGTCCAACACGTTCTAACCATGTCCTGCATTTTTTATATATTTGATGCAGTCGGACACCAAACGGACACGGCCGAACACCGATCGGACACTGATCGGACACGCACTGATCTGAGCGGACACGGCCTTCTCATCTCTGGACTAAGCTATTTCACCGTGCCTCTTTTGCCTGCAGTTGAAGGAAGAGGATGAAGAAAGCCAGAGAGGAAGAAGTTGAGAAGGGAGCCAAACCAGTGCAACATGGTATCATATATATATATATATATACTGAAATCGAAATTTGTTTGATGTATCTATAGATGTAAAAATTGTGAAGATAGAAAGACGTAAGAGAATGATCGGAAACTATGGGGGAAGACGATGGCATAATATTGATTGCTTTTGTGTTTATAGATCTGAGATCTCAAATTGTGAAGATAGAGGTAAGGTAGGAGCAGAGACGTGGGTGAGTAGGTCATTGAAAAAAATGATAGATCTAAGATCTCAAATTGTTAAGATAGAGGTAAGGTAGGAGCAGAGACGTGGGTGAGTAGGTCATTGAAAAAAATGATAGATCTAAGATCTCAAATTGTGAAGATAGAGGTAAGGTAGGAGCAGAGACGTGGGTGAGTGGGTCATTGAAAAAAGTGATTGGGGAGAGAAGGGGGAGGGGGGTTAGGTAAGTCTGTAAGTGTGTTATTTCTTTTATGTACACACACACATATTTTATTTTATAAATAGTGCTCTCTCTATATTTGTTTTTTTTTTTTTTTTTTAATATAATATATGCTATTGACTTTATGTTTTTGAAAAAAAAGATGATTGGCCTAATATAAATGAGTTTGTATTTATTAATATATATAAGAAATTAAGTAAAAGTAAATATTATATATATATATAATATTAATTATATTATTATTTTATTACAGTATCTATGCCGTGTTCGTGTCCTATTTTTTTGACATTTATCGTATCGCGATATCCGTGTCATATCGTACTCGTATCTTGTGTCCGTGTTCGTGCTTCATAGATGTCATGTAATTAATTCACTAGCTATCTGCCATGTAAAATAAATACCTTGTGATAACATTGTCATAAAGAAAATACAATGGTACATAGTAAATTAATTTCCCGGCAAATTGGATAAAATATTATTTATTATTATTTTTTTAACAAAAAAAAATTGACCTAAAACCTAAAAGTCCTAACTAGACCACGTTATACAGTAGTAATAAAAATTTCTCTTAATATAAAATTTAAAAATTTTAGATTTTTTAAAATGATTTTTATTTAGGTTTTCTTTTCTATTTTAATTTTCAAAAAATAAAAAATTTTAAAAATTATTCCAAAATATTTTTATTTTTTTATAGACCTATCTAATGTTTATTTTTTTATTTATTTATACAAATATAAATACTTTTTGTTTGTATTAATTCTAATGTTTTCGTGGTTGACTGTACTTCGAGGTTAGGGATGCTCTGCCGACAATTGGATAGTGCGCTGGAAGGCATTTTTTCAAATAGACAAGACATTTTTTTTTTTTTTTTTTTTTTTTTTTTTTGAGTAAATTACAGTTATATCTCTTGAATTTAGGTCATATACCAGATAGGTGAAGATTTTGTTTTTGACTTTTAAATTAATGGTTTAACATTTTGCTTATAGCTCAAATGTTAAATTTTGACAGAGTCGTTGTAGTTTTGAGGTAATTAACGACTATGTTACCCTTTAACATGTTATTGATTATTTTTGTGACCAAGTTACCCCCAACATCCTCCTCCTCCTGCTGCTGCTGCTCAGACCATCCCCTCAATTCCACCCATCAATCTCTATATCTATTTATATATACACACACATCAATCTCATCCATATATATATATATATATACACACGGCGGCTGCGAAGTGCGAACCAGGGTACGTATCGTTTTGGGTTGTGGATTGGAGGTGGCGGTGGCTGGGCGAGCTCAGAACGGCGGCTGTGAATCACCGGCGATGATGGCCTCGGAGAACCCGGATACTCGATCTCGATGCCAAAATTGCACCGGCGGTATCACGCTCGTCGAAATTAGAAGGTCATCGTTCACAGTAGCTCTCATGAGGCGTCTTCTCAAAGGGAAATTTCACAGATACATGCCTTGAATGTGGGTAATCTCTACGCGCAATCTACAATCATTTACATCAATAAGAGGGAAAAAAAAAAAAAAAAAAAAGCATAATCTAAGGAAAACCCATTTCAAGTAGGTATACAAAAAGCAAAGCATTAATTAGATGGGTTCAATATGAGTACAAGTCCCCTGTTCATCATCATTAATTCATCATCACTCCAAATTTGAATAGATATTTGAGAAAAAAAAAAAGAGAGAGATAATCTGAGGAATCTGATGTCAACCCATTTTCAGAATCCATTAATGCTCCTTATCATGCATATGTATGTGTGTGTATATATTGTAGAGAGAGAAAGAGGGTTGAAATGAGGTTAACCTGGCCCTTTTCAGCAAAGACAGAGAGGTCAAGGGAATCGGAATCATCAAAATCCTTTGGTGACGGCGAGCTTGGGGATGTCTGTGTGTATATATTGTAGAGAGAGATGAAACTCAAAATTGTTGAGAGGCATTTATGTCATTTAAGATTAAGGATATTTTATATTAAAAAATTAAAGATAAAAGAGTTAATTTGCATGTGTTTGAAGTCGAAAAGTAAATTAAGATATAAATAAAAGTTAAAAATAAAATCTTTATCTATTTAAAAATGACCAAACATCAGTCGGTGCTGCGTAATTCAACCTTTTTTTTATTTTTTTTCAAATAGACAAGACGGATGAAAGGACTGAATTAAATTGACAAGAGAGATGGCCAAATTATTGAACCAAAGCAGAACACATGTTACCTAAAAAGAATGTGGTCCGGCCAGAACACGTGTTTCGTCCTTGCTAATTTGCCAATAAATAAATCATTTCCATCAGTATTCAACTCATTAACAAATGCCAATGGACTACATCACATTTTTTCTTGTTCTTGCGCTGTCCTTTGTGTCTATATGCATTCATATCCTTGTCTCCAACCCAATTTTCAGGAGGTCCAGCACAGCCCGACTCCCACCGGGCCCTTATGCTTTTCCGGTGATCGGAAACTTCTTAGCACTTGGCAACAAACCCCATGAGTCACTAGCCACCCTTTCCAAAACTTATGGTCCTATTATGTCTCTCAAACTAGGGAGTATAACTACCATAGTTGTATCATCACCCAAAATTGCAAAAGAAGTGCTGCAAAAACATGACCTGAACATCTCCAGCCGGATAATCCCCGACTCCGTCAAGGTGCTCGATCACTCCATAGTCTCCATTGTGTGGCTGCCGGCATCAAACCAGTGGCGAAAACTCCGAAAGATATGCAAAGAGTACTTGTTTTCAGCCCAAGTCCTAGATAGTAGCCAAGGCCTTCGCAGAAAAAAGGTGAGAGAACTAGTTGACTACGTGCATGAAAGCTGCACCAGTGGTCAGGCTGTGGATATTGGCCGAGCTGCCTTTACCACATCCCTTAATTTGCTAGCAAACACTTTCTTCTCTATTGATTTGGCTCATTATCAAGCCAACTCATCTCAAGAATTCAAAGACATTGTGTCGACTGTGATGGATCTTGTTGGGAAGACTAATGTTGCAGACTATTTTCCTCTACTTAAATTGATCGACCCACAACATTTTCGGCGACAGATGAAATTTTATTTTGGAAAGTTGCTAGAGATATTTGAAGCAATTATCAACCAAAGGTTACAATCAAGAGCTTCTTCCTCTGGGTTGGGCAATGATGTATTAGGAACGCTCCTCAATCAAAGCAAAGATAATGATACTGAAGGGTTCAGCATCAATGACTTAAAGCATTTGCTTCTGGTGAGTATCAATTAATTAAGTTTTAAGTCTTTACTTCACCACTCTACTATTGAACTTCTTGAAAGTCAATTAGATTGGCGTGTTGGGATTATGAACCCATGAAAAATAAATTCTCTAGGTTTTTTGTTACATTGTTAGAAACAATATATAGTGCCTGGAAATTGATTTAGGAGAATGACCTATCATGCGTCTTTACATTGTTTATGTAATAACTACGTTATATCGTTATTTCATAGTATCATATTTTGTGACTATGGCAATACGATGTAGTACATTACACTAATGATACAAGAGGAGTGCAAAGAATCCCCTCCACGTGACAGGATTCGTGGCTAGTCATCGAAACTAACACTTCTATTTGTTAGGACTTATTTCTTGCAGGGACTGATACAACATCAGCCTCAGTAGAATGGGCAATGGCAGAGCTAATGAAAAGGCCTGACGCGATGGCAAAAGCTCGAAATGAGCTGGAAGAAGTGATTGGCAGGGATGGACATAGACTAGTTCAAGAATCAGACATCCCAACCCTCCCTTACTTGCAAGCAGTAGTAAAAGAGAGCTTGAGGTTGCACCCAGTTGCCCCACTTCTAATTCCTCACAAGGCTGAAGCTGATGTAGAAATATGTGGCTACACTGTCCCCAAAAATGCACAAGTCCTTGTTAATGTTTGGGCTATGGGGCGCGATCCGAATATCTGGTCGAACCCAAATTCATTTTTGCCGGAAAGGTTCTTAGAGCATGAAACGGACTTCAGAGGACAAGATTTCGAGCTAATTCCCTTTGGGGCGGGAAGAAGGGTGTGCCCCGGAATGGCATTGGGCTCTCGGATGCTGCACTTCATGTTGGCCTCTCTTTTGCAGTCGTTCGACTGGAAGCTTGAAGAAGGGGTGAAACCAGAAGACATTGACATGAATGATAAAACCGGGCTTACAATGCAGAAGGCCATGCCTCTCAAGGCTATTGCAATTAAACTGTGACTGTCAATTTCTGTACCCTTTGGGATTTCCCTCCCACTACTAGAAGGAACTCCACCTTATGTTCAGTTTAGCCAATAAAGGTGAAAAGGGGGTTAAGTAACCTTATGCTCGGTGTACTCTTTTAAGTTTTCTTCTTTCTCCATATGCCTATTTAACAAATATATATATATCAATAAATTGTGGAGGACTGTGAAATGGCAAAGGTTTTTAAGCTGTGTGATGTTGTAGAACCCTTTAACTGGAGCAGGGCATGTTGTTGGTTTTTTATATAAGATAAGTAGAGACATGTTTTTTTCTGCATACAGAACATACTGCATCTGTAACATGGTTCTCTTCTCTCTATCACATTTTCTTTTTCTGATTAATCATTAGTTTTCATAGTATTTGAAACGCATTTCTTCTGTGCTTTCCAACGAAGAAAGTTCCACTTTTTTGTGTAATCATAGAGGAGATGATGGTAAGATCATTTCAACAAATAGGCCAATTAACTGGTCGCCTAAGACCAGCCAATAGAATGCATTTATAAGGCCTTTAATAAATTTTATTTCTCTTATACTACGGCATTAACCAATAAGATGAATTAATGGGGCGTCCTAATGTTAGAGGTGTCTCATATGGAATCTGGATGGAAAGTGAAATTAATACAAATAGGTTGGATGTTAACTCCGCTAAATAACTTAAATTTTTTGGTCGGATTACAAATCACCCAATCCGTTACAATTCGTGTCAAAGTCATACTCATTCCTTATTCCACTTTCCCACCTTTCTATTAAACTCATAATTATTATTATTATATTAGGATTATCTCTCACATTTTTTTATTAATCCAACCCGCCATAACTATTTCATAGAGAAAATTCAGTGGCAGTACCTTTGAGAAATTCTACCATTTAATAATTGGATTGATAATTCTATAAAACCAGGTTTTGATGACTCGATAGTGCTTTTAGAAGTCTGTTTACCGTGTATATGCTACTGTGGTTTATCATATATATATATATATATATATATATATATAGAATGGTTTATTATTTATATATATATATTTTTTTGAATATATATTGGGGACATAAAAAGGTTGATTTGTGTAAATCTCCGGTGGACCTGTTTTTGAAAATGAACACCGGCAACAATTGGGTGTGAGCTATTTTGATTTTGAAATGTAAATTATAATGCATGAAACATTAGATGCAAGGAGTTGGACGGCAGCAAATGGGCTTGGATTTGGATTCAGGTCAATCGAGCCCGTTTAATCAGTCTGGCCCTAGTGTTGAATGTGGAGTCACAAGCCCATATAAGTAAGACCATTGACAATTTAGCACATTGAGCTCATTTTACTGGCATATTTTAGAGCACAAAAATGCATAAAATGAGTGGTGGAAATACGAGTATTGAGATAAAGGTGCCGTAAGCACAAGTCATTTTTATCATTGTTACTTCATATGTCAAAATTTGTAAACTGTGGATAAGTATTGGCTTGAACCACGCAACAATTCTGGTCCACAAAAATAATTTGCATAAATTGTCGGTAAAAAGTTGCTGAATATATCACAAAAGGTAAATTGTGCAGCAGAAACTGATAACAGAGAGACTAAAAATGGAATACATCACAATTCTGCTTGTGCTGTCCTTCGTGTCAACATGCATTCATGTCCTTGTCTCCAGCCCAATTTGCCGGAGGCCTGGCACTCCCAGACTCCCACCAGGCCCTAACAGGTTTCCGGTGATCGGAAACATATTAGCACTTGGCAATAAATCCCATGAGTCTGTTGGGATTTATATGTCCTGGCATAGCAAATTCCTATCTGGATTATAGTGACATATGTTCCTGGCATATCTGAAATATTTATAATTTATATAATTGGTGAATTCAATGTATTATGTTTCGATTCACTATAAAATTGATAGTGTCCATGTAATTATAAGAAATATTTATATATATGTATATGATGGCAATCAATGCATGATATATAAATAGTAATTATAAATTATTCATAGTCAGTAATTATGGATGGACTCATAATTAATTAAGACTTGAACTGGATCCGCGTTAGGTTGAGATATATTGCGAGAGCCGTCGTATGCAATTACTCCCTATCACCGTCATGGCATTTGACTCTTAAGCATGAGAAAAGTATAGACTCTTTTATTAATTAATAATTACTTTGATTTGTTCGGCGGATTCTTCGGGATCCTTAGACCGACACTTTGGGTAGTTATGTAATTAATCGTTAGAGGGTTATATTTTCAATATTTGCATCATTGCTACTTGTATTTATTTTGTATTGATTATGGTTGATCACAAAGTAAATTCGAAGGCCTTCGTGTGTTTTTAGACAAAATGATTTATTATATATTTATTTATTTAAATTATTATTTTTGTCAAACAAATGTTTTATTGTGATCGAGTCAGAAATAATAAGAGGTACCAAAATAGATATATTAATTAAACAGTCGGATTGATGGCTTTATTTATCCGATAACTAATTATGCATAGAGGGGTCAAAGTGCAATATTGACTTAGAGGTTATTTATTATTTAATTGGAGTTCAATTATTTTTTTTTAGTGGAGTAGAAATTAATTTATGAATTAATTGAATTGGGTCCATGGACCGGACTAATTATTAATTCATTGCAGCCAATAAAATAATAGGCCTAATGGATTCTCACTCATAACCCAACTTGATATTGGAATCATATTAGATTTGAGACATATGAATTAGAGATGGAGAAGGATTTGTTGTTTCCTTTTCTTTATTTTTATGTTGCCTATAAATATACATGGTCTATGTATATTTTAGGGGGTGATTTTAATGAGAAGGAAAAAGGAATTTATTTTCTCTCTCTAGAAAATTAGGGTTTATGCTCTCATCTAATGGAGGCTCCCACAAGCCTAGTTTTCCAAGGTCATTCATGGAGGCTTATGAGTGATTCCTAAAGGCAAAACAATTACCAAGAAGATGGAGATCCATGGAAAAGGTGTCTAGCAAAAGGGATCTACAATAAGTGAGAACATTCACTTTAGAGGAAAGTTTTAAAAGTTTACTCAGACCTTTGATGTAAGTATTCAATCTGTTAATTGAATGATACATCATATTTTTATTTTTGCGTAAAACTTGTCTCTATGTGATGAATCAAGATCTATGAATTTAAATCCCTCTAAAAGTTTTTAAAACTAGCACGTTTTCCAACAGTGGTATCAGAGCATGGTTTGATTCATTATTAGAGATCATGATTTTATGAAAATCATCATTCATGGATCCAAAATTATATTCATATATATTTTTATTGATGTATGTTGATGTATGATTTAATATGTTGATATATATTGATACATGATGATGTATGAATAATTGTGAATGAATGATGATGTATGGTTGGGCCATGGATGAAGCTTATAGGTTAAATTAATGTAATTTTATCTTTGGATGAATGTAATTAAGGCTTTGATTTAGCCGTTTGAAAGTTCAATGATGTACTTTAATTTTTTCCATTGTATTTCAAATTGTAAATATTTTTAAAGCCATGTAATCTTTGTCAAAGGATGCTATGAAGCTTCAAGAAGGTCCAAGAGGGTTAAATTAGGCTTCAGGAATTTTTTGGGATTTTTTAGAAATTTTTCAGAATTTTTCTGGAATTTTTTAAGGCCTAATTTAATTTCTAGAATTTTTCGGCGATTTTCCGGCGACCGGAGAGTTGTCGGCGGCAAGTTTTTGTCCAGAGATCAAGAGGGATTGATGGGAAATAATCCCATGTGACGCGGCTAATGATAGACCATCGCGCATTACTTAGAGCGTATAAATGTTAAAAGCTGAATCCATTGGCCATTTAAATTGCTTCTGTCTGTTATTTATTTATTTAACTGATGCATGGAATAATTAATTGTTTATTATTATTATTCATGCATTGGATCCATAATATTTAATTAAATGACTTGATTTATATTAATTAAATTATGAAAATTAATTGGATTTGATTACTAATTAATTTGAGAGTACTTATTGGGAAACGAAAAATTATTTTTGTAAATTATTTTTAAAGTGTGCCTCAAATTAAATATTAGTGAATCGTTTAAAGTCCAAATATTTTCTAAATTTAATTGGATTAAAATCAAGACATTTTGCATGCATTATATCATGTAAATAGATAAATTTAAAACCCTAATTATGAATGATTAAAAATTGAGTGGGAGCGGGGATTTTTATACATTACCCCATGGCCTTCGTTATTAAAACCATTGTAATTAGATCTTCAAAAATAAGGCCCCACGCATGATTTGAAGAGTCTTAATATTACAAGAATGGTTGTCTCATGAAAATAATAATATTAAATGTTCATTGTAATTAGATCTTTAAAAATAAGGCCATACGCATTATTTAAAGAGTCTAGATTATAATGACAAGATATTTAATGTTTTATTTTTCATTAGAGCATTAATAACATTATACACTCAATCTAAAATCAATAGTGTTAGCTCCCCAACGGAGTGGTCTACACTAGGTGATTTTAGAAAGGTTAAACATAATCGGGAATCATTTCATATAGATAGACAAGACATTGTCTCAAGAAATATGGAGATGATGGGATTTGCCCGCCAATAACAATAATGAATTTCGCCAACCGAATAAGTTATTGGTATATTGGTTATCCGATTTTTCATGCAGTGGTTAAGGGACCCACATATTATTTTAATGGAAGTGCTCACCTAATAGCAAATGAATCTCTACAATAGTAATAATTAACCCTTCCAACAGGATAAGTTATTGACATATTGATTGGTTGATTTATTATGCTACAGAGTTGAGGGACCCACATTAATTAAAAGGGATTGTTCACCAATAATGATAATGATCTCTTGTTCGATTGAGATTTATTATATTATGTGATAAACAAACTCATTTTAATTTTAAATATGCATGACAGTATTAATAATTCACCTTGTATATTGTATGAATGCATTTATATTCAGACTAATTATGTCTAATCCATTTTATCTGCTTGCTAATTTCAATGTATGTGGACTTCATTTATAATGACTAGAAAAGGAATTTAGATATTTTATTCACAACGTGATGGTACAAATGTATTTACTACTCCTAAAACCTAATCCTTTTACTTTAAGATACCCAAGAGAACATTAATGCTTTGAATAAGTGAAATAAGGCAAATAAGATGAATTGGTGCAATATTCTAGAGTTTACC